GGAACCCCACCCCGTCGTCCAGTGGTTCGATACACTGTAATTTTGACATGCGTCTCCTTAGTTACAAACACAAGACATGTTGATTAGTTAGAGACACAAGACAAAAGCTGAGTGTTCTGAAGAACTTTATGTTAACCAGAATAGCTATTATATTATATTATATTATATTATATTATCTTATATTATATTATATTATATTATATTATATTATATTATATTATTATTCTAAATGATGGAATGAGGCCCAAAGTCCTCAAGGCCTGTTGGTGGCATATCATTTATCATTTTCCTTCACTCACCTGTGATTTCTCAATGGAAGCATTGTGTTTGTCACACATGGGGCTGATCTCCATACCCTTATCTCTCTCTCGGTCCCCCTGAGTAAAAAACTCCACCATGATGCGATCCGTCCACTGACGGTACAGCTCCAGGGGCTTTGTTGGGTTGCTCAGGTCAGCACAATGCACCATGTTCTGAAGAACCTAAGCATTTGATTAACCACACATTTTTAATGATAAACTTCTTACTTATGAAGCAAAAATGAATTTCTAACCATATAAAACGGCTTTATACCTGAATGCGATCAGAGTAGTTGTCTAACAGCAGCACGCCCAGACTTGTCACCTTCTTGGTCTCTACCATGGTCTTGAGATCCGCTAACAGGTTCATATGCTTTGACATATCAGTGGCTAGGACCTATAAAGAGTCAAATGCACGGTAAATAAACAAAACCACGTGTTGGTTGTAGTTCTCAGACTTGGACCTCTTCATCATTGCCTCACAGATTCGTCATTGTCTCCATTTCCTCACCATGTCAATGACCATTTTGCGCAGCGACTGCCTCTGTTTCTTGGTCAGGTTCTGGAAAATGTCACAGTTTTCTTCCTGCAGCAGTTTGAAGCCAACAGCCAGGTGGTGGTTCTCCAGAACAGAGGAATCGTTGTACATGAGAGCCAACTCTGAGTCTGAAGAAACGTATTACCTTCTTAGTCAACAACACAGTGTGCAACCACAATGGCAAGTTACTGCTTCTCTGCCGCGGCCACTCACTTGTGTTGATGAGGAACTGGTTGGACACTCCAGGGTGGTCCACGTCATGTATTGCACTAGCAAACATTGCTGCCAAGATCTCAAGGTCGGTGAATACAGCCTAGCAAAACAGAATTGCAAATATGAAACATCTTGCTTCAGAGACTAATGAGCAGATGATGAAAGAGGAGTTGACTGAGACAAACCTCCAGGGCAGGGGTGGACAGCAGGACATTGGTGGACTGGACCACGTCAGCTGCATGGATGCTATTATGGTATGCTACATCTGCGTGGTAGTTCTCCTCCAATGCCATCATGTAGGTAATGAATGTGTCTACAGGGATTTTAAAGGATTTCAACAGGTCTCTTTCCTGTGCGTGGATTACAGGTTCAAGACATTTGTTATTGTAATGGTTTGACCAAAACTACACGAGAAAAGTGTTTTTATTCCACATTTTATACCTGAAAGATTGTGTACATTGCTACCGTTAGCGGTTGGTTGCCAGAATACTCAGATATCTTGAAAATATCCACACCCCATTTGTCAAAGTCCTCTAACTCCTGCAAAAGGGAGTTGGATGCAGTTAAAAACAGCATTGGGCTTTGTTATAATTACTGCAGATAAAGTCCATGTTCACTATGGTGATTTTAGTTTGCTGATAGGGAGTGAGAGCTCACCTTGGCCAGCAGATCTTCCTGGTCAGTGCTGATGCCAAAGCGTGGGATGCTGGAAGCTGCCACACTGGAGCTGTGTGTGGGTTTCTTCACTCCACTGATCTGAGACATGGGCCACTTTTTCTTCTCCTTCTCCTTGGTCGGTGGGGACATAATCTCCATATCATGTTGCTTCTCTGCAAACAGGTTAATTTTTTATACATGCAATGACAGACAGCTCATTAAATGCACATTGAAAACCTGGGGGAAAAAATGCAGTTTAAACTTTTTGGGATTCAAAACAAACAAATGTTAATATGTAAATCACTAATCAAAACTGAAGCAAATTTGTAACATTGACAATGTTAAGTCAAACTGTCCTGCCAGTTTTAGCAAAATAAAGCTGAAATAAAATAAAACACAAGTATTAGGCAGGAAACCTAAACTTAAAAAAATTAGAAATTAGTTAGAAACTAACTGAAATAAATTGAAGCACTAAAATTACTAAAACTAAAATAAAAATAAAGCTAAATAGTTAACAAAAATATAAAAATATACATATATTATATTATATTAAATATAAAAATAAAATACTAATGACAAAAGCCCATAAAATCTCTAAACGTCATACTATATTTTAAATTATTTTAAATGACTAAAATACTGAAAATATAAAAATGATAGCTAATTCAAAATATTTATACATTTTATAATAATATATAAATAATAAAATAACTTCACAAATCATAATATTTTTGTATTGTTCTAATAGTGTAATTTGAAATAAAAAACATTTGTATTAAATTAGAAAAAGTACAAAATAGTTGGTTTTACCCAAGAAGGTGCTGGAGATGAACTCTGAGACCTGGTTTCCAGACTTGCTAGTCTCTGACAGCTGGGTTAGTTCTCGATTCAGCATCCTTTTGAACTGCAGAACAGAACACAAGAACAAAACAGATACGCTTTGAGAATCAGCCTCTCCAATCTACTCTATATTTCTTTTGAATAAATCCATACAATTTATTTGAGCCTTTCCATACAATGCCTAAATGAATCTTTTGAGATCAAAACATTTTTATCCTACAAATGTGTGCAACATGTTTAATTAAGAAAAGTCAAGGCGTAAAACATCACATGGCGTACTCATATCTGAATATAACTGCATTAAGAGTGGTAGCAGGCCTTCATTCAGCTGCTACAGTCACCCAAGATGAGGGGCTGGACCAAGCAGGAGGAGTGCCTTTCATCTGTGTAGTGCTATTATGTAATCATACACAAGGTTTCAGAATGAAGCACTTCCGACTAAGGCAGCAAAATGTACAGTAGTACTGTAGGAGCCACACATACACACACTGACATCAGAAACACCCCAACACACCCAAACTGACATCCTCACAGCAACACGCTGCACCATCTGTGATTTATAGAGTGTCAACAAAAGCATCCCTCTCAATTTCAGACAAAAACAATGCAAGAGCTTCTCCCTGACTAAATGAAAGAGCACAGCTGAACGTGCAGAATCACAACCCAAGCCTTACCTCAACATACATCCACGACACAGAGAGCAAGTAACTGACGTCTGGCATTTCAGCACCAAATGAAGATTTAACAAAACAGAAGCTCCGTCCAGCCAGTGCACATGCTACAGACACGATCCAGATCGCCCGAGCTGCCCGGTTCCACAGCAGTCTAACGGTCCCAGCAGTGGGAGCTCCAGCTGCCATGGGCTGCACCTGTGGCGGGTTGAGAACGTGTGCTGCTGGCTGGAGTGAGTCTGCATCGCTGCCGCATGCTCTACTCTCCTACTCTGCCTGATTCATGTGTAAACATAGAGATCAGGCTGGTAGCTCCCCACTCACTGCTGCATGCCGGCCAATCGGATGAGTTTTTCCACAGAGGCTGGGTCAGAGGGAGGCATGAGATTGGTTTGCTGCTCCACGGCACATGCAGTGGCTGGATGGGGTGGATACAGGGGGCTGGGGCTGCACCATGTGCTCTTGGTTTGAAGATGAAAGCTGCAGGTGCCGCTTCATGCTTTGCGCGCATGTGTGTGGATGTGTTTTCCATTGTAACGAACGAGGGAAAGCTTTGTTGTCACAGGAATAAATCCCATTTTAAAATATATTAAAATAGCAAACAGTTACTTTAAATTGTAATAATATTTCACAATATTACCTTTTTTACTGTATTTTAAGCGAATAAATGCAGCCTTGGTTAGCATAAGAGACTTCCTTCAAAAACATTAGGAAATCTAACTGACAGCAAACTTTTGAAAGGTAGTACATTTCAATTATCCTAATTATTCATCATAACATTAACTCATCTTGACAAAATGTACAAAGAATATTTCATGATTTTACATTAATGATGACTTAAAAAATAATTAAAAATATATATTTTACATAATTTGCAGAAATCTTTTTCTTGCCCCTGGTAGGGGGTCATCTTACCCCAACAGTGGGGGTAAGATGTCCCTCTTATATGATTTTCAATGTGCTTTCAAAACTAAATTAACAAATATTTCCATTTATTTTCATTTAATATTATACAGGATGATGCATCATCATCTATATACTAAAAATTTAACTATTTAGCTCGTTTCAAGAATTGTCCCATCTTACCCAAACTTGTATGAAAATATGGCACTGCAAATTTGAATACAAAAAAATTAAGTCTATAAAATGCAGTACTTTTATTTGAACCTAAATATTCTGAAAGGTTTTTGCATGCACGCCCAGTTTTTATATATTTTTTTGCCTCAACCAGTGCAGGGTAATTGCTGACTGTGCAGCAGATACGTTAGTGATGTTAGCGAGAGTGAAAACACTCAAACATGGGTTCCTATGCGCGCATGTGTGTGAGGGTATGTATCTGCGGTGTACGTGGTTGCTGCGTGGGTGGGCTAATCACACGTCACACAGGCTATGAAATCCCCAGCAGGAATGAGGGGAGATAGAGGGGGTGGGGGGGAAGCAGATTCATCCATGACTCCACTCTCATTCACATATTTCAGCACACAATGAGGACGGGGGATGGGAGTGATTCAGAACATGCATGAATCCCATTCCAATCTAAAATAGAGATCTGACGCATGTGTAATTCATACGGAGGCATGCAGAGTATTTGGGTGCTGTTATCCACAAGTGTTGATGCATTGTGTTAGATGGTTATTAGCGCTTATGGCAAGTCCCTGGGTGACAATCGGGATATTTGGGGCCTGTCAGTAATTAATCATCTTTTATTTTGGAAGATCTACCTTGTTGGATGCCATCTCACTGACTGAGTGACGTGTCTTGAGAGTCTCGAGCTGTTCGAGACACCAGTCCAGCTCATCCAGAGTCTCCACTGCCAACTTCTGAAATGGCTCCTCTGCAAAATACAGCAAAAGCATTGTTATATTCATGACTACTGAAATGTGTTCATCATCATATGTATTAAAAATAATCTTTGTACTGTTTTCCTTTTGTTGTCTAACCTGGTAGGCTTGTCTTGCACATGGATGGTGGGTTGCTTCCAGTGGACCTCCTGTGGAGATTTTTGTCAGTGTAGATCAAGCATGACTTAAAAAGCATTTGAACAGGCATTACACAGTTTATTGGGCCTTACTTGCTCGGGACACGGTCTTGCTGATGGGTCAAAACAGCAAAGTTGCTCCGTACAGTCCTCAAGCTGGCAAGGACCTATGAGAAGAACAATAATGTAGGCCCGTGCCAAGAACACATCCTTAGTTCTTTCTTTCTTTTTGAAGCTACTCCAACTCACTTACAGCCTAATATTATAGTATTGGGGAAATTCCTGTATTCAGAAATCAGTGGTTTTGATTGTAATATTAGTTTTTTTAAATTGTTTTATAGAATTAAATATATAATATTTAGTAAAGAATTTATAACATTATATATTATATAATAAACGTGGATCTATACGAAAAACAAATATTTTATTAACAAATAAAATGTATTTGTTTTAAAATATACTTTTATTGGAGCACAAAACCAGTCTTAAGTCGCTGGGGTATATTTGTAACAATAGCCAAAAATACATTGTATGGGTCAAAATTATCGATTTTTTTTATGCCAAAAATCATTAGGATATTAAGTAAAGATCATGTTCCATAAAGATATTTTGTAAATTTCCTACTATTAAAACTTAATTTTTGATTTGTAATATGCATTGCTAAGAAATTCATCTGGACAACTTTAAAGGTGATTTTCTCAATATTTTGATTTTTTTGCACCCTCAGATTCCAGATTTTCAAATAGTTGTATCTCGGCCAAATATTGTCCTATCCTAACAAACCATACATCAATGGAAAGCTTATTTATTCAGCTTTCAGATGATATATAAATCTCATTTTCGAAAAATTGACCCTTATTTTGGTTTTGTGGTCCAGGGTCACATGTACACACACATATATAGTAAAATGTTATAAATTGCTTTAAACTTAAATTTCACACAATTATGTCTAACAGTAAACTTAAACAGCAAGTAACAATTTGAAAATTCTTAACATATTGAGCCATTTTGCTTCTCAAATGCATTCATCTTATTTTTTTCAATGTTTAGGTACTATTACTTGAAAACAAGATAAAACAGGTTAATAAAATGATTTTTCAGCGAGTGAGAGAGAATAAATGTTACATAGAGAGGTGACCTAGAAAACGAAACATTTGCGTAAAACGTCTGGCTTGTCTGAAATTCTGCAGCTCTTTTGGAGTTTCAAAAGGACATGAAGGCTATCTGATTTCCAAAGCCATGCAGATTTCTCATCTGTCAGCATCCATATCGGCAAATGCGGTATTGGATTCCTAGCCTGTTTTGTAAACCGAGTACAGTGGTGACGCAAATACCACGTAAAGCAAGCTGCATAAGTGCAGAAGGGCTGTTCCCGCAAAGGCCAAAGGCAGCACACTCCACTTACACAAAAAAAAGACACTTCTAAATATTAGGAGATTAATCTCTCTTTAAAATATAGGGAAGCAAAGTCAAACTACCAAGTTCCTCAACAGAGTGGTCGGCTGAAACCACATGATGCAAAGTCTATAAATGGCCATTAATGTCAGACCAACTACGCAAGCTTTCATTTTCAAGGCCCACTCCAATACTAACCTGTGCAAACGGTGTAACTATCATGTCTTCTCCATGTCTGTAAGAGAAAAATGCATGAACAATTCACAAATCAAACACAAAAATTACATATTGGAAAAGACAGCTCTTTAATCTCCCAATAATAAAAGGAGGCACATAAAATTACTTAAGGATCAGTGAAAACTAATGGCTAAGAGTTGAACTGTGAGGACTTAAGGATGTGGTCGGCTTCAGGTTACAGCACACCATCATTCAAAAGAGCAAGCGGGCGGTAATACGCTTCGGATTAACATGCAGTTTGGATGGAAATAAAGAAATACAGCTCAGCATAAGGAAGGTACCGCAGATTCTCCAATGGGATATTAGATATCCTACATTAAAAGCTTATGGAAATGCGTAATAAGAACACAGATGGGCTTGGATAGGGTGTGTCATGCACGTATTTTAGGAGCAGCGGGACAGAAGCCGAACTAGGGAACACACTGGGAATTGCATCTTTATTCATATATTCCAAAGCCTCTTTGGTGGAATGAGTAATGCTCATGGCGGCGAAGAGTAAACAGGGAAAGCTATGAGGTTAGACTGGTCTAGGGGAGAGAACCAGCCTGGATTCTGTAATGGAGAAATGGGGGACAGCCCTTTTAAGAGCAGGTCGATATTTTTCTATATCTTCTCACCGATTTAGCCAGTTGACTTCCCAGTGCTTCAAACTCTCTTCCCTTTGAAAAGATAAGCAAGAGTTGGTGACCTGTGATTGAGCACACTAGTTCACATCAGCCCAACAAACAGCAGTTGTAGGTGGTTGTGTTCACCCTGTTGGTGCTTATTGGGGTGGTGTAAACCAGCCTCAAAGTGTTTCAATTTGGGCGAGAGTGGCTTTGACGCAGGCTGGAAAAATAAACTGCAGAAAATGTGGTGCCCTTTTTCCGACTTGAAATCGTGGCAAACCACAGCTGACATGCAAGCGTGCTCAGATGGAAAGAACAGCTGGAAGTGGTAATAATAAGGAGGGTTTAACCAGCGCCTTGGATTTTCCAAAATGACCGAGCAATATGATTTGATGTAATACACTATTAAAAAAGTGTGTCTTGGGAGAACTTTGTTTCAAACATAATCAACCAGCTGGAGTAAGCCACATCTGTTATGAGGCAAACGTTTACAGTCCCAATTAACAGAACTCTTCCAGCCACAAAACACTGCAGCTCAAGTACACACTTGTGTAGCTTGTAACACGTGACTCAAACAACATGCTCATGAAAACTACATTTTTTTTTTCCTGGTTGAGACTGGTGACCATTCAAAAATCTGGGGTCGGTAGGATGTTTTTTATGCCTCTTAATGCTCAGCAAGGCTGCATTTATGTGATCAAATACACAGTAAAACAGTAATAATGTGAAATAGTATTACAATATAAAATAACAGTTTTCCATCATATTAATTTTTAAAATGTAATTTATTCCTGTGATTGCAAAACTGAATTTTCAGCACCATTACTCCAGTATTCAGTGCCACATGATCCTTCAGAAATCATTCTAATATGCTGATTTGGTGCTCAAGAAACATTTCTTATTATTATTATGTTGAAAACAGTTGTGCTGCTTAATATTTTTGTGAAAATGGTAATACAAATTTTTTTCAGGATACTTTGATGAAGTTCAAAAGAACACCATTTATTTGAAATTTTATTATTTTTATTTTATTATTTTGTAACATTATAAAAATCTTTTCTGGCATTTATAAATGTCTTTTTATCAGTGTAATGGAGCCTTGTTGAATAAATGTATATAAAAAAAATATTTTTAAAAAATCTTACAACAAAACTTTTGAAAGGTAGTGTAAATTAAAAATAATATATATTTTAAAAAATTGTTATTTAAAAAAAAAATATTTAAAGAATTAAAAGCCATCATAAATGCATTTAGTATGTAGAGTCCTGACATTTCCTGAGTGATATTAGGGGATAATGAATGACACAAGTGATACTCACAGCTCGCTGGCCGTGGATGAGTTTCGGGACATGGCCTTGGGTGAAAGGTCAAAGTCAGAATCGGAGCGATACAGGAAGGACTCCCGCCGCTGACTGTGAGGGAAATTGGCTTGCAGCACAAGGCCGGAGCCTGGACTGGCCTGGGACTCCAGAGGACTGCGGCCCACCGACAGCCCATTGTCAACATCAAAACTGAGGAAAGAAAAACAAAAAGAAAGGGTTCATACAATTCACCTGGATACTTTATTAGGATGATTTTTTTTTGACAATTTTATGAGATAAACTGTACCCAGCGTCTCTATATGTGCAGTGCACACCCTGTGTCAATGACCTGAACTAGTGCAGAAGGTCACGGAGACCTTGATAAAAATGGTTACACACAAACGCACAGCGAGATACTCTCTTCCTGCGTCAATCTAGACGTAAGCACTAGCGTTGCGGGTTAATATGACAGAGCTAGACATACAGTATATCAGTCTCTGTGATCTGCATGACTCCAAACTCAGGATATGTTTCAGTGCCTCACTAATACCAAGCCAGCAGCTCGAACACTACATCACTCAAGAAAAAGTGACACCTTTACATAAAGTGGGGACCACTAGTGAACAAAACTATTTTTTTTTATTTAATACAGTTTTTACATGACATTATAATATATCATAACAAGTTGAGTGCACTCAAAACTGCATGAACTCCACAAGTTTTTGTAAAACCTGACAATTATGTTATCCAATAGGAGTACACCAATACTAAAATTCTGGATGATACTGATAAACTAAAAATATGTTCATGTTATAGATGATAACCAATAAAACTCTTAAAGCGCTCTTTAAGAGTTGGTTACATTTTTGCTATAATATATCACTATCCCTTTAAATGATTTAAATCACATGATCAATGTCATAAATATACATAGTATTGTAACCTAGAAATCAAGTAGAATATTTCATATTTTTCAGTTATTTTACATCATAACAAACATTTTTAAAAATATATTTTTAAAATAGAAAACTTTCTATCTATAAGGTACATGTTTTTAATCCAATATTTTCAATGTGGACTCTAATGTGGATAAAGGATGAAAGGGTTCACCCAAAAATGAAAATTCTGTCATTCATTTCTCACCCTCATGTCGTTCCAAGCCTGTTTCTTCTGTGGAACATAAAAGACGATATTTTGTTGGCAATTCTGGTAGTATATATATTTTTTTACCATTCAATGGAAGTCAATGGGAACCAAAACTGTTTGGGTTCCAGCATTCTTCAAACATCTTCTTTTGCATCCCGCAGAATAAAGGGTGAGTAAATAATAACAGAATTTCATTTTGAGTTGAGTATCCCTTTAAATGCCACGGTATACAGCAACAGAATGACAAAACAGCTACTGCTTTCGACCTTATTCCACACACCGAGATCTAATAAGTCTGTCATGGTGAATGAGAGAAATGCATCTGAGATGTCATCCTCCTCTAAGCTAGTCTGAGTGCAGTAAAACTGTCCATCTCAGTGACAGATTCCGGTTTTGTGGAGTGGGTAAGACCTCCTGAGACACAGAGGCAGCAAAGCTCTGAATGAGCTGTGTTTTTCAAGGTCAATGTGATGCAGGAATGCTAAGTTAAAAATAGCCTCGGCTCATTGACGTGGAAGCATGTGAGAAGCCTAAAAATGTCCTCCTCAGGTAAAGTCAATTCCCAATCAAACTGGCACAGAATTGAAACATACAATATCTGGTGATTATATGAATCAATAGTCCTGCCTCTGATGCGCTGTCTGTTTGATAATGATCCACTGCTAATGTATTCATCAACAGTGTGTTATTAGGTTAACGTGAAGGAGTGGAAAAACATTGCAAGTCAATGGACAATTTTTTTCTATATTTGGGAGAGCAGGAAATGCATTGCATAAATTAATAACAATAATACAATAAAGGAAACAACACTATTTATAGCCTCTGTTTTCTAGTTCAACACGTAATACTGCAGATCATGTTGCTCAAGTTTAATTATGACCAAGTGTACATATATTCAGCTTTTTGTTTTATTTTTAAAAATGTTTATTATGCATTAGGCTTTATTAACCTTTTTATCTGCATGATCGTAGCATTTGAGCATATTAAATATTTCTAAAAGGTGCTTTGAACATAATATCAGGTCATCTAAAAAATGGCTTTAATATATATTATAAATATGTAATAAATAGTTAACATATTTATTAGAATTTAATGCATTCATATTTTATTAATATAATAGTATATATTCATAACAATAATAATATTACTTATTATTAAAAATAAATAATATATATTTACTATGTATTAGTGTCTATTAAAATATAATATTAATTACAATTAGAATAAATGTATAAAATTGTCAAATTTCATATAAATATATTTCACACCCACCCCACAAATATGTATGTGTGTGTGTGTGTGTGTGTGTGTGTGTGTGTGTGTGTGTGTGTGTGTGTGTGTGTGTGTGTGTGTGTATATATATATATATATATATATATAATTTAATAATTAACTATTTTTAACAATTTGTTTTCAATAACAATAATGATAATTATTATTATATTAAATACACTTTAATATTTAAAAAATAATATGATATAATTTTACACCATTTTTTTCTGAACTTCTCTCTGGACTACAATTTGAAAACCTCTGATCTAGAACATGTGCAAACCACCCTGCAAAATATATGTGAGTTTGAAAGGTATAGTGCTCGTCCAGCTAAAATAAGTACAATCTCCAGCTCTATCGCATGTCCACATTCACATCTTTCACAGATGTTGCATGAGGACAAGTCGGACGTCTCTAACATATATTACATAATCGACCCAGTGCATCCCATTCATGTGACCGCATACAGGAGCAAGAGACATATAGACAGAGAAAGAGAGAGAGAGCAGCATTCTTCTGAATGGACAAAAACAAATACATAGCGCATCTCTTTAAGTCACACTACTGTACGCTCTGGTGTGAGGGGACACCGTATCCATCTCTAAAAATACCTGTGCTTGGGGCAGAGGCTGTCGCTTCCACTTGGTTTCTGCTTCCGTCCCTCATCTTTAATGTTGTGTCTCCTATGGGTCCCAGTGCACACTCAGAGCGAGGCGCTTCTGCAGAGCTGCTGCTATAAATAGCCCGTCTCTGTGCGAGGGATCCGAGCGGAAGCGCTATATTTAGAGCTGCAGGTAGCCTCACATTCTTCCCCCATTCATGAATATTTATGGCGATTTCTGCTGTACTATTTTTAGCCCACACATCTATCCACCCACACATTTCGATGTTGCCATTTTAAGACATCCTCCGTCAAAAGGGAATGTGGGAATTTCTTCACTTGGTGAAGTTGTTTTTAATGCTGTTTTTGTACTGCATGTGGAAAATACATCAGTGCATTGTACATGCAGGAATATCAGTCCATTTATTAAGTGCATTAATCAATTCAAATGCCTGAGTTCTCTTACTATTATTACTATTCTCTTACTATTATACTATAAATTTAGGTGCATAAGGTATGATTGTATCACAGTTTTGTCTGTAGCAAAAAAAAAAATTAGAATTCAAATAATCCTTTGTGCAAAACAGTCATGTTCACTTGCCATTCACATTGTTTGTAGTTCTTTTGGCTTCAATATGTGAATCTGATGTGAAAAATACAGATACTTCTTTATAAAGCTCAAAGTATACAGTTACATTTTTATTTTCAACTATAGCGTCTGCTAAATGACTAAATGTAAATGTAAATGTAAATGTAAATGTATTCCTTTAACAGGCTTTCTTTACACTGTTATGACAACTGTCTGCATCACTGAATAGTGGCCAGTCCCACCAGTGAGATGAACTGGTCCTTGTGAGCAGTCTTTGTGCTTGTAGTGCTGTGGGAAAATGGGAATAGGATGCCTCCTGTGGCTCATGGTAAAATAAGCATGTGTGAAGGCGGCCTTTTTCAGTCAAAGCATGATGATAGTATATATAGTATAATTACAGAGTACAAGCGAATATTGACTATAACCAACTCAACTTGATAATGATTAAATAAATTAATACAATGATGACTAATAGCCAACTCAACTTGATGATGATTAAACAAATACATAAATAAAATTGTGATAAATAAATAAGGAAATATGCTTGTACTCTGTTCTTATGCTATATAACAAACAAACAAACATAAAAATAAAATAAACAAATGTTAAAACAAGAGTTGGTTATAGGTGATAATAATAATATAATGATTAACCAATACAAGCATCAATGACCAGTCTGTAAACAACTGTACTGAAGTGTCAAACAACTATAAAATGCATTGCAGATTAATTTAAAATGCAAGAAATTTGGGAGATTTTTGGGTTCAGGATGTTGGATTTAGCATCTTGTGCATTCCAGAGCTTTACTGTACATAAACAAAGCATTGAGAATTAAACCACATGTGCGCAGTTTTTTTTTTTTTAATAATTAAATGTAGGAACTTTTTTTTTTTTTTTACTCATGTATGTTTTCAGCATCACTACCTCCAGGAACAGGATGAAATTGATTCTAGTGGAGACCAACTCGCTACAAAGGCTTCAAGCAGAAACCTTCAGACATTTCAAGAACACCTCCAGTGTGAGGAGTAAGAGAGCTGATACTAAATCCCCTGCAGCCATATGATATGCTGCCTGTCGACTGTCAGTCTCTAAACACTTGAGACCCAGCATGCGTCATAAGACACTGGTGCTATGTCAGTCCTAACCGTGGCACATTACAGGGCTGCACCAGCCCGGCCTGTCCCATCACAGTCCACGTAATGCACAATCACTAACCTACACTCAAAACATCTTATGAAAAGGCCCCACATTGAGGCATGTATGTTTATATGCTTTCATGCAGCATTTTATGTAAAGAAAAGAAAAAGGCTGAGCCATACGTTTATATTAATCTCACGTAGTCATTTAGTCTCTTAGTTGAATAACCAGTCCACTGGGACACAGCCAGAAGGCTGTTCATCCTGTTCCTTTCGCCATTGTTTCTAATCAACAAGAAAAAATGACATTTAAGAGAAACACAACGTCACATGACGTCAATGAACACCCAGGGGCCCGGACATCCATGAACATACCACAGGAGATCCGGAAGACAGCTGTTACAAATAAAATGGTTATTATGTTGCACCAAAACTTGAACATTTTAAGGGCCGAAGAGAGATTAAA